AGAGGGTGGGGGTGGGGGGTGGGAGGCGCAGGTTCAAAGCTCACGATCACAGAGGTTGAGGAGTGAAAAGGTTGAGTAGAGTTGAGGAAGAAGAAGCCATGAAAGAGACTTATCTGTGACCTATCTGTCCTGACATGCACGCTCGTCTTGCTGAAGCCCCGGAGGGGAGCTGCATGCGTGGCACTCACTGACTGTGCACGGCTGCAGGGGTAAGGCCTTGGCCTGTGCACTCTGGCCCGAAAACCTGTCCAACCGGCCTCATGCCTCTCACCCCCGCAGGAAAAACTACCATGACTTACAGCTGTGATCATGTGACTCAGCTGCACGAGGACAAGAATTACCAACAACCATGAACGAAGAGGCTGACACGCTTGAACAATAAGACAGATGTTAATGTCTCAATCAGCCAGCTGATTTGTCAGCGGCGTCACATTTGGTTTTGCTGTTTGGGGTGAAATAAAAGATGATTGGATATTTAAACACACATACACGCACACGCACACGCACACACACACACACACACACACATCTAATCTATTTTGTCTGATTGTTAAATACAGAAAAACAAAAAAGAAATTGTGTTTGAGGTGTTATAATTCCCAGGAGCTGATCCTTTTGTTTTCTAACATTTATTTTATGTTTATTTATTTATTTATTTGTTTATTTATTTATTTATTTTACCCGAAGTGACTTACAACTGGAGACATTGTAATGCGGTGACTCAACTTGACACGCATGTTTTTGGTATGAGGGAGGAAACCAGAGTACCCGGACCAAACCCACACATACAAACCTACAACCTTCTTGCTGCGACGCATCATGAGCACCAACTGCACCACCATGTAGCCCATTTTATGAAAAATTACCCTAAAGACACAATTTGGGATATTTGAAACGTTGCTTTTAATTCCCTTTTTTATAGTCCGTCAACATATTAAACACAATTTTTGTTTGTTCTCTCTCTGAAATACCATTTGAAATAAAAAGGTAAGTTTTAAACCACCCACCCTGTTGCTGATGCATCAGACCCCAGCTCCTGAGATGTTTTGAACTGCACACCTGGGAGATTTACCATAATGAATACCTGATGTGCTGAAGCAGTTAATTCCGCCTATAAAATACCTCCCTTCCTCCTTCCTGTGGCCCATGATGGCTGTTGTTTATCAAACGAGGTAACGTCCTGTCATGTGACACCCCCCTCACCCTTCCAGCTCCCACCTGTGTGGACTTTTCTCTTAATCCCCTCTCTACCCCCACCCCTCTTTTTTTTTGCTTCATGCTTTGAATACTTAGACTACTGAGTGTAACTAATTCTCCCACACAAGGATATTGTCTTTTCTCTATCTATGCTTTTGTCCTTCCTTTTCAAGGCTGCCATTCACAGATTTCATTAGTCAGCTGTGTGTGTGTGTGTGTGTGTGTGTGTGTGTGTGTGTGTGTGTGTGTGTGTGTGTGTGTGTGTGTGTGTGTGTGTGTGTGTGTGTGTGTGTGTGTGTGTGCGCGTGCGTGCGTGCGTGCGTGCGTGCACATGCATTAATGTGTGTGTGTGTGTGTGTGTGTGTGTGCGTGTGTGCACATGCATTAATGTGTGTGTGTGTGTGTGTGTGTGTGTGTGTGTGTGTGTGTGTGTGTGTGTGTGTGTGTGTGTGTGTGTGTGTGTGTGTGTGCGCGCGCTCGCGCATGCATTAATACATGTGTGTCGGTGTGTGTGTGTGTTTGTGTGTGGGCATGACTGTGTGTGTGTGCATGTGTGTGTATTTCTGTTTGTGCGTGCTTGCATTAATGCATGGGTGTGTGTGTGTGTGTGTGTGTGTGTGTGTGTGTGTGTGTGTGTGTGTGTGTGTGTGTGTGTGTGTGTGTGTGTGTGTGTGTGTGTGTGTGTGTGCGTGTGTGTGTGTGAAACATGTTTACTCCGTGTTTTGCACACACATGTTGCACAGATCCTGCAGCTGCTTGGGGGGGGCTACAAGACGACGCCAGTCCCCTGGGATGGCCAAAGCATCACCCATTTGTCCTGCCCACCCCACCTCCCCCGTCATCTATCCCTACCAGTGCATGACCCTGCAACCAGCAGAGGTCAGCTCTGCAGAAGGAGCCCCCCCATCTTACACCCCCACCCTTTACCCCTGGGTCCACAGTTTCAGCATAAATCGGTGGCTGCTGCATGTACGCGGGAATCTTGCCCTGCACAGGGTCCCAGCCCCAGCCTGGCACCATCGGTCCCGAGGCTCTGACGCAGAGGCAGCAGTGCCAAGGTGGGTTCCCACTGATCAACAGCACTTCTCTGAGCTCCAACGGGACAGAGCCGGGCCCAGAGACAGATTCATCACTGCTGGAGCCGGGCTGTGATGAAGGGAGGCACCCGAACTTAGCTCTGAATACATGTGAGCATGAGATGCTACAGTAGCAAAACAAAAGTCTCTAAACAACGACGTTAAAAAAACAAGGCCGGACCCATCTGAGATTTACAACTATTTTAAAATAAAGCAGATGAGTAAATGTTTTCCAGACCAGCAGAGCAGGCCACGGAGACATTCACTCATTCATTGGTGTTTTTAAATGACATCCTAAACATGAGATTTTTACAGGGATGAAACCTTGTTTCCTGATATAAAAACTGTGAAATAAAATTTAAAATAGTAACATAAACTGAATGTTAAAATTCAGAATTCACTTCTGTGTTGTCATACACTTCATATTATGTGTGGATTCAATTAAAAATGAGGAGGTAAACTTTGAAACTGCTTTTTCATTGAAATACATGTTTGTAGAGAATTTTGAGACTAATGGTGTCTCCCTGCCTGCAAAACAAAATTGAAAAAAATTTAAATAAAACAAAAATAAACATCTATATGAAGGATTTCTTAAGCCTAACTTGGTTCATGGGAAATTTTAACTTTACATCAGAGGCTGATTGTTTTAAAATAAAACTTTGACTCTGTTCCGCTAAATTAAAAGCAAGAGAAAACATCAAATTAAGTCCCAATAATTAGTGGACCTGACAGAAATGCTGATTTTACCGCCACTAATGAAGAGGTGATGCACTCACCAACGTTTCTTTGCACCCCCACAACTTCTGTCCCACATCGCTGCACCACCTGGACTCATGAGGCATAAATCTCAGAGACAGTCTGCAGGTCTGGAGACACTTCAGCTCGCTGCTTTCCCATCAGCCCCTCCTGTTTAGGCCTGGCTCTAATGAGCGACAGGGGTCATAAAGTGGTTGTGTTCCTGTTTGCCTTTTCCCAAACCAGTGACACCAGTTGTTCACCCTCCTCACCAGAGCCTTTTGTGGCGACTGACAGGCTGTCAGTCCCAGGCCTTGAAGACACGCATCACCTTCAGGAGACTCCTCTGTAGGCCTAATTGTCACCAAATAACTTGTTTTGTGGCTCGACATTAAAATTCGCTTTGGCTCATTGTTTTGTTTCAAATGTTCAAAAATCACAATAATTGTGAGAAAACATGATGGTTATGAACAGCTGATTCTAATTCCCAGGGATGGCTCTGATGTATCATAGCTGTCTCCTCTCTTCCTCGTAAGTCTGAAGGGTGACTGCCGGCCATCATCAGGGTTAAAGTTGAGACCTTTGCAGCGACACACAGGACAAAAATAAACGCCAACCCACATTCAGAACGGATTGAACAGAACGATCTTCAAAATCAGCACAAAGTCCACAGCGGTTTCTACTTTTCCTTTTGTGGATTTAAAACAATATTTTTCTAAACTCAATCAAGCAAAATTGTAATTAATTTAGTTAATTATCTCTTCAGAACTTTTATTAAAATTACTATCATAGAGAAAAAGATAAAAATTTCTGTTTCTTCACTTTTCCATTGTTTTGTTTTAGTGTTTCTTAAAAATAAAATAATAAAACTTCAGTTTTCACGTGTTACACCTGAACTTTGTCCTGTCTCGTCTCTAGTTTGAGGTTCTAATGTTTGTGCATTTGTTACAATCAAATCAACTCAGCTAGTTGAATTTGTAGTTTTTAGCAAATACATTTTTTAATTTTACAAAGAACATAAGTTGTGCTAACACCGCCCTCTTGTGGTCAGTTAGCAGAACCACTATCCCAAACACAATAAACCATGAGTTACTTCATGCTGATGTTAAACCGTCTAAATATCACTTCATTCAGCTTTTAAAGACTTATAGTTTTATTAAATATCATCCCTCAATGACTTTAATAAACAGCTTCCTCCAACAAGTTGAGAGGATCTTGAATGTCTGAACTGCTACTGTTGTCACCCACCCACTGTGTTTCCTGGAACATCTCCCACAAAATCGTCCTCCAGCTGCTCCCACGACAGTCAATTTGATTAAATACTGCAAACATGTCTGGATTATTGTCACTAAATCTCATGATCATCTTTAGGTTTATTTGCAAAAACCAACAAATTCAGTAAGAGAAGAGCCGGATAATGTCTAATAAACCTTAACGTGGAAACAAGGAGAAACCCGCTTTGCTTGCATAGTTGGGAACTGATCTATTTTATCCTATCTTCTATCAAATCCTGCTCAAGTCTTAAATGTGATGCTCAGTATCTTATTATTTGGTCTAAGTAAAATATTCTGTTAGCTTTTAATATTTATTATATTAGGGTGAATTAATATAAAAAGAAACATTTTTTTATAACTGTAGTCAGGCTCAAATATTTTAGTAAAAGCTAAAATTAGTTACTGTGTAAATGTTGAGTAAGAGTTTATTGCTGGTGCACCATCATTCTGGAACTGCTGATTGTTTCAGACTTCAAAATAAAGCTGAGATTTGTGTTTTAGAAAAAAACACATTTAACAACCAGTAACATTTAGAAAATGTTTCCCAAAATAATTACAATTAATTCATCAGGGAGCATCACTGAATCAACTTCAATTACAACTACTAACAGTGACTTAGGAGTTCCTTCTGACTGGTTTAGTTTGTGGCTTCTAGGCTCTGATATTAACGATTTTCTTTTGATGTGAGATCACACGTGCAGTCATGAGGACAAACATGTAACTTTGTGTAATTACAGTGTTTTTATTGTCAGAGCTTTGCAAACAGCTTCCTTTATTACTCCAGTTGTAACAAGCTGAACTATAAAACACATTATAGAATCAGACATGAGCAGCATCAGCAACCGGATGACTTTTAAAATTAACTACAACTTTTTTCATGTCTTGTAGTATTTATGGCAAATATATGGAATTAGCAACCATCTAACACATGTGATGTTCTGGAATTCTGACTTCACCTTTTTGAAACTAGTGGTGTATGCTGGTTTTACTGGTTTACATGGAATCAAGGGGCTACTGTTTGTTTTGAGTTTCTGTTTAAATATCAGCATGGATTCAGTTTCACTCCCGTCCAGCCTTCAGCTTCTCCTCCACTGTGTGGTCGTCCCTTGACCCCCCCATGCAGGATGGACTCTTCCCTAGAGACGGGTCCTTCCCCCACTGCTCTGGGGTCTTTGCTTGGATTGCCAATGCATGAACGCAGCTACTGAGTTCCTCTTTCAGAGCTTCATTCACCAAACGGTGGCGCTGAATCAAAGGCAGACCCTCAAACTGGGAGCTGACGACTAGAACGCGGAAATGGGACTCAGATCCTGGAGGGACGGCGTGCATGTGGCTTTCATTGTGGACCTCTACGTGGTCTGGTTTTAACATGCTAGTCAGTTTGGTTCTGATAGCCCTCTCAACAGGCCGTTTGGCATCCGGGTCCATGTGTGGTGTGAAATGAGTCAGAGGTCTGGTTGAAGAGGGCCAGGCGGTGATGCGTCGGGTACACTGGAAGGCACTGGGAAGCATCAGAAACTGTGGAAGAACTCCACCTAGAATAACAAAAATATGAGAAGTTCGGATTACACATTTTTAAAGTCTGACTTGCATTTGATGATCAGGAATGTTTGTTTCTAACTCTGTTTTCCTGTTTAAACCCCACTGTTTTACAACTTAGCAATGATTTCTGGAATTTAGTGTGCAAAATCTACCTTTAGGATTTTAAACTGATGAGTCCTTCAGCTGGAAGGTCGGATTGTCAGTTCTTAAATGTCACTGAATGCAGCGAGACAAAGCTAGAGCGCACGCGCAGGCATAAATAAACAGATGCCATAAATCAACCTTTTAACGCTAATATAATACATACAAACGTGTCTGAACTTACTATGGAATGTAAGTGGAATGCGTAAATCCGTCGCTGAGTTTCTGAATCATTTAGCAACTGTAGCTATATTATTTTATCTTTTCAAGTTAGTTTACTAGCATTCTTTGCTAACTGTTTACAGTTTGCGACACACGCGAGTGCTTTACAACGGTGAAACAAATATTTACATTGGGCAGATATTTTAAATATTAGTCTTTAACTTTCAACATACAAATACATTTACATTTACTTCGGTGTCAAAAAAAATTAAAAAGAAATTCTGAGGTCTCACCACCGAGTAACGGAAGTTGATGTGACTCTTCTTCTTGTGACGTTTTACGGCAGATGATGTTCCAGAAGTTAAGACACCGCCATCTGCTGGACATGAGTAAAATATCCAGTCACCCTTTCCTCATTTCCCCTTTCTTGGAGTAGCCCCTGGCTGCATCCGAGTAGCCCCTGGCTGCATCCCGGAGATCGGGGCGGGGCTAAATGTGGGCGGGGTTAAACGTTTAGAGGTGGGTGGAGACAACTATTTGACTCCTGCCCCTCTCTCAATGGAACCAGGAAACTGCGAGTAGCCCCTTTCTAAGGATTAGAAAGCCCTAAAAACCCACAAAACCCATGTAAAGCATAACATTGGTAATCAAATGACTTGTTTGCTGGATGTCATGATAATTTTAAAGAGCAGATAATTACAGGCACCATTTTTGATCCAATCTGTTCTGATATTTTTATTCTTTTTTCTACTTTTGTATGGTATGTGTATTTATAGCACATAGGTATTTGTGTCTTTTAGCTATACTTTTGGTACCTATATAAAAGGTTCAGGCATTTATAAGACTATTCTTTGAACCTGTCAAAACCATTTTAATAGTTGATTTTATCAATGCTGCCTTTATTTTAATAGTCATTTCCCAAGTGAGTGTAAAACAGTATAGACAGACACGGGTAAATTTGTTGTACACTCAGTTAAATCAGCTACATTAAGAGGAACAGAGACTTAAATTGTGCTGATACTTCTTAAAACACGCCAGGGTTTGAGGCGGGGTGGTGAGACATTGTGTGAGACACCCAAGAATGCAGACTAAATTTTTCAAAAAAGGTAAATTTAATAGAGCAAACAACAGCCAACACAGGAATAAAAAAAAGTACAAACAAATGAACCAAAAAGCACACAAAAAACAAGAGAACCTCCAAAAAAACAATGTGAGGAGGAAAAAGAATTGCAAAAACTGTGACACCGCTGTACTATGGCATTTCAAAACCAGAAAACACCTTCATCTTCCTTTTTTCCTCAATTTCTCTGCAGAACTCCTCATAGTCGGACTGAAAACTAAACATGAATAGGAACGGTTCCCTGCAATCGTTCATCTCCTCTTCATCTAGGCCATCACAGAAGCATAACCTCTCCACTGCCCTCCGGCAAGCTTCCCTGTCCATGGTGATGACCTGGGGAAGGGAAAGGCTTCCTTTGAAGGACCTTGTGGTACACCACCTTGCTGCCTCAAAGGTGTCCTCAAGCAGAGAATTCTCCTAATCAAAAATAAAGACAATATTAAAATTACTGCTGTCAAGAGATTAAAAACATATTTTACATTAATTATGTATGATCTGAAAGTAATCTAATCTTTCAATTTAATCTAATAACTGTACATAATATAAGCCTTATTTTCAATGCTAACAGCTAACCAAACAGCTGATGCTGTGGTCTTTCCAAACTGCAGCACGGATGTGCATCTGATACAGGAGAGAAGCTGTCAGCAGCCTTGATGCTCAGTGACACACCCATTACATCCAAATGGTAACAATAACTTTGGAAAAAGTTGCAAGAAGGGTGAAAAAAAACAGAGTAAAGATAACAAGGTCGCTGAAATAAACACTGCTGCAGCTAATCTCTCACCGGTCTTGTCACTGTAACGTCAACCCTTCAAGAACAAGAAAAGAAATTGGTTTATTTAAAAGTCCCATAAAGAAGCAGTAGATTAAAAATGATAAACATAATTAAAATATATAACACGTTAATCATGGCTGTAAAAAATTAAATGCAAGTAATGGAATTATTTGACACCTCTAATTAAAATAGAGGTTGGAGAAGAAACAATGACACAAGAAAAGTCCAGTTCCAGCAAGTTCTCAGCCTATGCTAGAAAGGAAAAAGATTGTGGTTCATAAAAAGCATATTAACGATGCAAGTTGTAAAAAAGATCAGTTGCTTAGTATTCTGGTTTAATGAAAATAGAGAAATGACTGAAAAACTTGCTTTGAAAAAAAAAGTGCTCGTCTGGAACGGTCTTAATTTTCTAATCTTGGCAAAGTAAGAATTTCATTGTGCAGAAAGCGTGTTTTTCTAGCTGTGCATATGACAAAAGGTTGAATCTTGAATCTTCCCACATCCCATTTCGACAACCTAGGGGGTTGTATACAATAATACTTGTTTGAACAATACCTGATGCTGAACAGACTAATTCAGTAAGGCAGGACTTCTTAGGAGGGACCACTTCCAGGCCCTGAAATAAGTGAAGGAATTATGCTTTAGTCTGCAAGCAACAGTTAAACTACAAGAATTAATCAAATTGTCTCTCACCTGTTTTACTCTTTCCTCTCTCCGTCTTTTTCGTGCCTGCACTCTGTCTTCCTCAGACCTTGGTGATACAATGACAACATTCATTCACTATGAAAACATTCATGTTATTCTGTTGACACTTGACTGAGCAAAACGTTTATATAATTACACATATCAGATTAGCACTCTAACCATAATAATAAAGCCCATCAGGTGTAGAACTCAGATATGAACATAAAAAGCTTAAAAAACTAACATATTTCCCCCCGTAAAATATATTTTCCACCAAAAAGTAATCATGACTACACAACATATCTCCCCAAAGCTATAAAAGTGTTCCTACAGGTTTCTTCAACTTAAATTTAAGTCTGTTTAAGATCTTTCTAAAGCCATATGGAAAATTAATACCTATTTCACGGCACTATCAGCAAAAAAGTAAATAAAATAAAATTATTGAACTAATTTCATTTATTTATCTATACAACTTTACCAAAATATTTTGACAAAACACTGGGTGGGCACTTGGTAGAAGATCAGTTATATTTTTAAACAAATGGTTAAAAATATAACCGATCTGGTTTGACATTAGAACCTTAATAATTTTTGTTGCCTATATTTTAGTTTAATTTTAAGACATTTTTTTTATTATTGCTAATTTTATTACCCTAATTTCTTGCAGTATTTCTATTGTATAAAAGCAACAGTGCAAACTGTAAAGACACAAAATTGAAATAAATGTCTAAAAATAGTGCTTCTCTTGGTGTCATCACTTGTTTGGAATATTTTGATGAACTTCAGAAGAAAAATGCAGTACAGAAAACTTACATCCAACACAAATTTTAAGACCCAGATGCCAAAATTGAAGGGTTTCTCCAGTCTTTTAAAGGTATTACTTTCAAATTCATAAATTCAATGCTTTTAAGACTCCGTGGGAACCCTGTAAATATTTCTCCTCAAAAGTAAGTCGCCCCGCATGTGTAAAATAGGCTATATGTATCATCTAAAACTCATAATGGGAAAAAAAACTTTAATTTCCAAGTTTATAAAACGTTCGCCCAACATTGGTGATCGATATTGTTAAAACAGTGAAAAAAAAATCCTAGCTTACCTCCATTTTGGCAGCTACTTCCCTCTGTCCCGACACCTGTCACAGCATTGCACACACACACATAGCATAGCGGTTTCCTGATTCCATTGAGAGTGGGGCAGGACGCAGGAGTCAAATAGTTGTCTCCGCCCACCTCTAAACGTTTGACCCCGCCCACATTTAGGCCCGCCCCGATCTCCGGGATGCAGTCAGGGGTAGTTACCACTTGGCTTTCTTGCGCACATAAAAATCTTTATAATAATTTATAATTATTATAATTATCTAATAATTAAATTTTTTGCATAGTAGATTGTTATCATTTTTTTTGCCTTCATGCTCCATTCCTTGTAAATACTCTACCATCTTTTTCCACAGAGTCTTTTTTATTTTTAAAATGTGTATGTATCCAGTTTTTTTAAATGTTTTAATCTTTTGAGTATTGTGAAAATTTTCTGCATTATTTAATAATGTTGTTTAATCTTTAATCTTTCTTACAATTTTTTTATTTATTATAATTTTAGCTTCTACAATGACAGTCCTAGTGGAATGCGGCTTGGATGGTCACAGAGGCAAAAACAAATGGCATGGGAAGAGTTTGGTAACGCCATGAAGCAAGACTTCAGTATGGTTTTGAGGAGAATCTGGTCCATCATCCAGCATCTCAGGTGGGGAAAGCAGTGCTCTACCAACACTGTTTATAGTGGGGACAGTGTACTGCTGACCTCAGCTCGGGATGTTGTAAATCGGTGAGCAGAATACTCCCAAGACCTCCTCGATCCCTCTGGTGCATCTTCCAGTCAGGAAGCAAAGTCTAGACTCTACAATCTGTGGTGCTGAGGTCACTGAGGTGGTCTAAAAGCCCCTCGGGGGCAAGGCCCCAGAGGTGGATGAGATTCGTCTGGAGTTTCTTAAAGCTCCTGCTGTTGTGGGGTTGTGTTGGCTGACACAGCTATACAGTATTGCGTGAACATCGGGGGCAGTTCCACTGAACTGGCAGACCGGGTAGGGATCCCCTGTAGTTGGAACACACCCTTTGGTCCCCCTATTCAAAAAGGAGGACCACAAGGTGTGTTCCAACTACAGGGGGATCACACTTCTGAACCTCCCTGGTAAGGCCTATTCAGGGGTTCTGAAGAGGAGGGTCCATTGAATTGTCAAACCTCAAATTTAGGAGGAGCAATGCAGTTTTTGTCCTGGCCGTGGAACACTGGACCAGCTCTATGCCCTTAGGGGGGGTTCTGGAGAGTGAGTGGGAGTTCGCCCAACCGATCTACATGTGTTTTGTGGATTTGGAAAAGGCGTTCGACCTCTTCGCTTGGTAGGCCCTGTGGGGTGTACTACGGGAGTATGGGGTACCAGGCCCTCTGATATGGCTGTTAGGTCCCTGTATGACCGGTGTCAGAGCTTGGTCCGCATTGCCAGCAGTAAGTCAGACTCGTTCCTGGTGAGAGTTGGACTCCGCCAAGGCTGCCCTTTGTCACCGATTTTGTTCATAACTTTTATGGACACGGGTGCAGCTAATGTGTTGAGGATCTGTTTTGGTGGCCTGAGGATTGGGTCTCTGCTTTTTGCAGATGATGTGGTCCTGTTGGTTTCATCAGAACGTGATCTTCAACTTTCGCTGGCGCGGTTTGCAGCCGATTGTGAAGCAGCTGGGTTGAGAATCAGCATGTTGGTTGTGTCCAAGCTGGGCATGCAGCCCACTTGGCTAAGCGGCTCACCAGGACGGTGCCAGAATGCTAGATAGGCCAGTCCACCCCTGACAACCACCACCAACCTGAACCGTTGGTACAAGGCAGGATGGATCCATACTTTCATGTTGTTGAAAATTCCCTCACTACCAACTGAATGTCACAGCAGAAATCGAGACTCATCAGACCAGGCAACATTTTTCCAATCCTCTATTTTCCAACTTTGGTGAGCCTGTGTGAGTTGTAGCCTCAGTTTCCTGTTCTTAACTGACAGGTGCGACACCTGGTGTAGTCTTCTGATGCTGTAGCCCATCTGCCTCAAGGTTTGATGTGTTGTGTGTTCAGAGACGCTCGTCTGCATACCTTGGTTGTAACGAGTGGTTATTTCAGTTACTGTTACCTTTCTATCAGCTCGAACCAGTCCGGCCATTTTCCTCTAAACCTCTGGCATCAACAAGGTATTTTCACCCACAGAACTGCCACTCACTGGATATTTTCCCATTTTTGGACCATTCTCTGTAAACCCTAGAGATGGTTGTGTGTGACAACCCCAGAAGATCAGCAGTTTCTGAAATCCTCAGACCAGCCCGTCTGGCACCAACAACCATGCCACGTTCAGTCACTCAAAATCACCTTTCTTCCTCATTCTGAAGCTCGGTTTGAACTGCAGCGGATCTTCTTGACCATGTCAACATGCCTAAATGCATTGAGTTGCCACCATGTGATTGGCTGATCTGTAGTTTGCGTGAACGAGCAGTTGGACAGGTGTACCCAATAAAGTGGCCAGTGGGTGTATATGTGAATGCTGTCTTTTCTGTCTAGTGTCCTTATGTGAAATCTGTTGTTAACAGATTTATACTGCAGGGTGGTGTCTGGTTTTTGCTTTACAGAAATAGGTGGAAAAAAAAATAAAAATTAAAATAAACACACAACTTCTCATCATTGTTTTCCATTTCTTTATTATTTGTGGTTTTTTGTCACTCGTTGTGACTCTAAAGGGTCACAGCAAAGAAAAACCCAGTCAAGAGTCAACAATGAGATAATCTCACACACTTTTAAACAAAACTCATGTTGCAACATTTAGTCTAACTATGATTCATAACTGGTATTTCACATCAATGTGTTTACTTACTGTATATCTCATTCTCAGATACAAAATACACAAAATCAAAGACAACATACAACATGGTTCATTTACACTTTTTTATACTATTTTTTTATTTTGAGTCCACAGTTCTATACTTACAGTCAGCTACATGTTCTACAGCACGGCACAGTGACACTTCTCACATTTAATAAATGATGATGCAGATTTACTGACAGGACCCTCCGGACTCGGGGTGGTTGTAGAGAGTTACACACAGCCGTTTCCTTTATGTGTCGTCGTTAAGTTTCCGTGTGCTTCTATTCTCAGAAGAGACAAATACCAAAACACTTATTGCTTTGTTAACTTTATGCACTTTAAATTGATCGTTGCCCTGGCAACAAGATAATCACATCACAAAAAATAACCTGTAACATAAGATATGTACGTGTGACGCTTTCGACTTCAGCCTGAACTGAGACATGTTAGCATTATTAGCTTTCTCTGCTAAAATAGGAGTTTCACATTGTTGCATTTTTTATTTCATGGAGAAAACTGAACACTTTACAGTGAATAGGGCAGGTAATATTTGTGTGTATACTCATGTGCTTCTAACTGAGCTTTCTGCCTTCTGAAATATTAAACGGTGACTTTTGGATGAGTGACGGGGAGAAATTCAAGGTTGTCTTGCTCAACATGAAAAACTCACTTCAGTATTTTATGGATCAGCGGTCCAAAGTGTATTTGCAACATGTTTATCTGTTTTATTTACATATATTCATATCTGTAACAGAATTCATGGTGTGACGTGTAAACTGAGGCCATACAAAATATTTGGCAATAATTAATGAGATCTTGGCACACTCAGAGACAATCAGATGATGAAGATGTAAGGTGAAAAAATTGGTCGTTTTCCTGGTTCAGGTCCTTGTAAGCCTTAAAAAAACTACAGTGTGTAGGATTTGTCATTTGGTAGAATTTGTGCTCTGGCTAAACACTCTGGTAGCTTTTCATCACATTTCTGTGTGTCAAAGACCTCAGAAGTGCACGGTTGTAGTGGTGCCGCTGTTTAAATGTCTTAAATCTACATATGGCTGCTATCCTACAAAATGGCAGTTTGGACAAAAGCATTAAATCTGACATACTTGTTTTAGGTTTTTACCATTGAATTGTTAACATATCCATTCAACCTTCCAGGACCTGCAGCTGTTTTCTAGTGTAGATAATGATAAATGCCTCATGGCGGAGAATTTATCATGGTATCTGGTTACGTTCAAATCAAAACAAGGTCCAACTTTATGTTAAATTCCTGCCCCGTCAGCAGAATCCTTCTCTCCAAAGCCTTAATGGCTATAACAATAATAAAGACCCTCAATTTCAAAATAAATAAAAATATATACAGTTTTGTTAGAGAACCTTCCTGATTTTGAGCTCATGTTTCATAAAAGGTAGGCTGACCGTGCTCTTATTCAGCATCCATTAGAAAAATCAAATGGTGGAATGATAAAATGTTAAATAAAGGATTAGAAATATTTTAATATTGCACAAAGGTGCAATATTTCAATAACATACACTCACACACACACACACACATTAATATAAACATTCAATTTACACAGAAAAAATAACACATGGCTGCCCAAATCCATCGTAAAGTGGAGTTAATTTCAGAAACTCTTTCATATCCTTGATATTTTTTTCCACACGGCTTTTAAACAAGAAAAAAAACTTTTATTAATGTGTGTTTCTTTTGTACCGTGTCCTCTGAAAACCCTGTGAAAGTGTTCTAAAGTGTCTCCGAGCAAACTCGTCTTTGTTTCATGAGAGAAAAATGTCAAATTCCTACAGCAATTCAATTTAGAGCTAATGTAATAAAGTAGTTTACATGTAATCTCAGGTTTCAAGTTACATAGAGTTCATACTTGGTGACATGCATAACACCCTCCAACACAAACATAGTGTATAGTTCTGGAGGAGAGGACAAAGGCGATTCCCACCAAACAAAAAGGGATGTTCAGAGCGATGGGAGGTATGAGGGTGAGGCTTTAAACATTTTCTCTAAGAAAAGGTTCCGCGATGGATGGTTGTGCTTTAAACAGACAGGAAACACGCCCGCCGCCCGCTCTTGTCCGCGGGATCCGAACCGATGCCTTAAAGGGAGGGAGAGAAATCTCCTAGTTGCAACATTAATAGAATCTAAACCGGAATGTTCTATTACCTACAAAATGGCAGTTTTCCTCAACGCCGACACGAGACCCAAGGAGAGACAGGGTGAGGACGTCCAGACAGGACGAGGACGTCTCGGACAGGAGAGGCAAAAAAGCTTCAGATCAAAGGCAGAAAGTTTGAGTAAGAACGGAAGCAAACTCTGGAGATGAACTAGGTCAGGTCAGACGGACGGGAGGCAGAGCCTGAGGAGTCTGCAGTTGTGGTTATGAGTCTATGTGCATGGCTCACTATCAAGACCACCATCCACTGACCTCTGACCCTGTTTACACTAACGGGGGTGGGGGGGGGGGGGGTCTAATGAAGTTTTATTTTTGTTTTGTGGTTTCTGCTCTGATTTTGTATCATTAACCAAAAAGACATTTATGTTATGACTATTATTAATAATCTTTAGGGAAAACATTGCAGCTAGTCACACCTGTGTTGTAGATTTTCATTTTTCACGTGAGTGTTGGGAGTGTTGAGAGGGCAGAACATGATGGGCTCTTGACCTGTGTGTTCTCAGTGTGACAGAAGAAATAAAACAAACATTTTCTACCCTCTGCAAATCTGCTGGATTCACTCTATTGTAGCACTTGACCCCGCGTCTCTGGTAGTTTGAGCGCCAGAAAACTTCCCAACGCCAGCGCCCCCGAGGCAAACAGGATGGGCACGGCCTTGGTTATACCGACGAATGAGGTGAAGATGCTTATACCCAGCACGGCCGCTAGTTTACACAGAGCGTTGAGGAAACCAAAAGCTGTGGTTCTGAAAGAGGAAAGAGGAGAGAGCAGAGTCAGTTTGATGATTTCTTTAAACTCTTTTTACATTCTGGTTTTAACTGGAGCACATTGATCTGAAAGAAAGAAAGAAAGAAAGAAAGAAAGAAATAGCTTTTTTCTTAGCGTGAATTTAAACCAATTAACTTCTACAAAAGGAAGAAAATGTGTAAACATCATCTGTTTTGTAATGATTTGAAGCAATGGGGGTTATAATACAATGTTAATTGATAGCGAGAAATTATTTTAATAAAAAAGTAATAAAAATGTATTTATTAAATCATCTCTATGTATAAACATATGATATTTTTGCTATTGGACCTGACAGCAGCATTTGATACCTTAATGGAATTTTGATCAGCTGACTTAAACAATTGGTGGGCCCTGCAGGCTCAGCCCTAAAATGGGTGAAGTCCGTTTTCGGATGAGCAACTACTCATCCAGCCTAGGGGGTGCCACAAGGGTGCACTTTGGGCCCTCTGCTTTTTTTACTCTATCTGCTGCCGCTAGGTGCACCGTTTCGCAAACATCACTAGTTCATTGATGATTGCCAGGTTTACGTTCCAGAGAGACCCTGTTCTTCCAGTTCCAAACTGGATGGCTTCTTGTGTTCCAATGAAAGAAAGACAGAAGTCCCCCTTAATCAGAGGATGGGTACATGGTGGTCATGAAGGAACATGGTCAGAAACAATGCTCAGGTAGCCCGTGACATTTAAACGGTGCCCAATTGGTACTAAGGGGCCTAAAGTGTGCCAAGAAAACATCCCCCACACCATTACACCACCACTGCCAGCCTGCACAGTGATAACAAGGCATGATGGATCCATGTTCTCATTATGTTCACGCCAAACTCTGACTCTACCATTTGAATGTCAACAGAAATTGAGACTCATCAGACCAGGCAACATTTTTCCAGTCTTCAACTTTCCAATTTTGGCAAGCTCGTGCAAATTGTAGCCTCTTTCTCCTATTAGTAGTGGAGATGGGTGGTACCCGGTGGGGTCTTCTGCTGTTGTAGCCCATCCGCTTCAAGGTTGTGCGTGTTGTGGCTTCACAAATGCTTTGCTGCATTCCTCGGTTGTAACGAGTGGTTATTTCAAAGTTGCTCTTCTATCAGCTTGAATCAGTCGGCCCATTCTCCTCTGACCTCTAGCATCAACAAAGCATTTTTGACCACAGGACTGCCGCATACTGGATGTTTTTCCCTTTTCACACCATTCTTTGTAAACCCTAGAAATGGTTGTGCATGAAAATCCCAGTAACTGAGCAGATTGTGAAATACTCAGACCCGTCTGGCACCGCTCAAAATTGCTTAAGTCACCTTTCTTTCCCATTCTGACATTCAGTTTGGAGTTCAGGAGATTGTCTTGACCATGACCACACCCCTAAATGCACTGAAGCAACTGCCATGTGATTGGTTGATTAGATAATTGCATTAAGGAGAAGTTGGACAGGTGTTCCTAATAATCCTTTAGGCAGTGTATATCCCAACTTATAATCACCATAAAAACAACTCTTGACCTAACTGCTGTAAGACTTCTAACAAAACCAAACGAACCAAAACTGCATTAACCACAGCAGAGAGGGTTTAAAACAGCTGGCAGCATCTCAAACTGAGCTAAACACGGGGGGGGGGGGGGGGGGGGGGGGGGGGGGGGGGGGGGGGTTATAAAAGTGTGAGACAGTGACTGTTAGAGCTCTTCTTTACATTTGCAGCAACATTTTACAACTGTCGAAAGCATCTGATCTACTGGACCAGATGGATAAAACACAGCTTTGTGCCAGCAAAGAACCAGAGGAACAAAACAAAAACAATTTCTTAGAAATTTTGAAGGTTGCAGTGGCTCAACCAGACCACAAGGTGGTGTTATTTCTCCTATAATCAGAACTGCAAACTGATATTGGATAAAAAACATATACATTTAGCTGCTTTTCCTAAAAGATTTTTGCAAATTCGTCTGCATTTGATTTCCTGTTTTATACACTAGGAAGCTAGAATGAAAAAGACCATGAGCTTTCCATCACAAGGATTTTAGCCCACAATGTCATACATTCCTGCAAGCCAACCAATCACAAAGAAGCACCGCCTACGACATCATTTAACACCAGACTCAGCAGCACCAGTGCTGCAATTGTGATGTCGAGGAGATTTTAGGGTATCGGCTTACCTCTTGTGAGATGGGTAGAGCTCGACTGTCAGAACGTCCAGAGAGTTCCAGGAGGCGATGCTAATCCCACCAAACAGGCAGAGCAGGGCGATCATGGCCGACTCGCTGTTGCCAAAAGACAAGAAGAAACAGCTGACGCAGGAGATGACACTGGAGCCGGCTGCAGATGAAGAGATTCATGGAGAAGCAGGGTCAGGAAAGGGTCGTGCTGCTATTCAGACTCATGTAAAAACATTGCAGTGATATGATTTTTTTTAATTATCTATTTATAGATCTTATTTGCAACAATCCCAGACACACAGTACTGGGAGATAAACTGAATCATTCCCTCCAGGACACATATCTCTGTATTTACGACAAACAGCACTGATCTTTGTAAATCCGACCTCAATAATTTACAGAAATAGACTATTTTCCCCTCAAGGTTCCTAAAAAACGACATTTCACTTTGCGGAAATCTTGCCAGAGCAAATAGCTAGGTGATCTCTTGGTTGTCTGGGCAGTTTTGTGAGAATTTTGATATTTTTCTTTTTACAGATGGACAGATTCAGTTTGTTTTGGTAAGAATTCTGCATTCTTTCATTAATCTGATTTAAATCTTTATGGGGTTTTATGGGTTAAATGTCCCATTCTTCTCAACCCCCAGCCTTACCGAGCATCCTCAACCGTCCGATCTTGTCCATGAGGAGAGCAGAAACGATGTTCCCTGGCAACACTGCCAAGGTACCCAGGAAACTGACAAAGTAGATCATGTAGGCATTGTTTTCATCACTGATGTCACTGAGCAGGCAGCCTTCTTTGTTGTGCAGGAAGGTGCTGTTGATGAGCTTACAGTTGATCAGCCGGTACTTGAACAGATCTGAAATGTAGTGTGTCGTTAGTTAAGATTCATCCCCTTCACATACTCGGAGTGCTACACAGAATGAGATGCCTTTGACATGAACTGTTGGAGTCAACCCTCGCTCTTCTGTTGGCAAAACATCTCGTAACCCTCCCACAGTCCTAATGGGTGTGACCCCGTGAGGAAAGTTGACCATTGAGCGAGTTGATGGTTTATCCCTTGGGTCCATGTGGCAGGGGTAAGGAGTGAGCACCACCTCACCCCTGCCACATGGACCTCAAGGGATAAACCATCAATCCTGCTCAATGGTCAACTTTCCTCGTGGGGGCACCCATAAAGACAGTGGGAGGGTTAAAAGAAGGAGTTCCTGGATGATTCCTGCAGCTGAATAACGTTTGGAGTTGATTTCACCTTGGTCTCTGCAGAACAGGCTGTTTTACTCACACAGACGTACAATACCATGTCATAATACAGGAGCTAACAGATCGTGCAAAAAAGATCAATTATGGATGTCAAAGTTGGACCTAAACAGTTATAACTTCTTTTTATCCAAGTAAAATCATCTGAGTGTAGCTCCTCTGTCCTTAAAGCATCCAGATGACGCATCAGGATTACTACTTTCATCAGAAACTTGCCATCTAGTCGTGTGTTCGTGTACCTGTTGACTGCCCCCTGGTGGAGGATCTACAGGTGGCAAGGGTCAATTTTTTGTGTGTGTTCCCTACCAGTGTTATAGAAAAGGGTGGCGATGAAGGTGCAGTTCTTGAAGAAGGTGTTGCTGGAAGTGATGTCCTCAAAGTAACATTCCTCAAACAGAGAATCTTCGAACACCATCGACTTCATCTTCATGTTCATGAACCTGGAAAAAGAGGACAAGCGGGAGTGAAACGTTTCAAAAGGACTAGAAAAAGATTGTTATTTTATTAAATCTCCTGTGGTCTCTGTGAAGTTCCCTTTTCAGGAAGTAGAAGTTAGTCAGAGGAGCGCGGGGGTTGAACAACGGCAGGATTTGGGAGCCTTACTTGGTAACAGTCATGATATTTGATCATCTTGCCTCTGATTGGCTAACAGCAATTTGACTCTACCACTGACTGTTTACTTTGCAATGTTGATGTTTTATCTCCACAAAAAAATGAGTGCCGTGTGGTGGAATTGCTATTGCTAATGGTTAGCTTCTTCTAGTCGAGACACGCTCTTCTCTTTCCTGGACTCGTCATCCCTGGCTGTGACTTCAGATGGGTGAGTCCATAAATGTGTATTTACAGTGTGATGTAGATCAGAGTGTTTCCCTGTCTATGTTCTATCCGTGGCTAATGCAGGAAGTAGTGGTAGAAGACTATTTTTACAATCAGCTTGAACGTTAAACTCAGTGTCTCAAAAGGAACACGTGTTTCTCAGTGAACCTCGGCTTTAAAAGTGACAGAAACACAGTAAAATCAGCAGGTTTAGTCTGACTCACCAGTGTGGGACTCTTATTGTCTAACAGAAACTCAACAGACAGACCGTAACGAGGAAGAGGAGAAGTCTCACTTGTCATTGAAGTACTCCCCCTGACGGTGGACCTGGTTCTCCAGCGTAAAATTAAAAGTGACGTGTTCTACTCTCTCTTTGACAAAAACCTTGGTGCGTGAGGCATACTCCTGCTTCTGCAGGTACTTGATCATGTCGGGGAACCACACCGTCAGCCCGTAGTAGCTGCAGGAGGAGGAGGAACAGAAGAGGAAGGCTAAACGTCTGACTTAAAGAAAATAAGCAAAAAGAAACTTTATTACTTCAAGAGCCGGACTGTACCTGAAGGACATGGAGAACCAAACGGCCATCATCATGTAGGTGGTGCGGCGGTACTCAGGAGAAAAAACGGTTTGGAAATTGTTCCACACCTAAACACACACACACACACACACACACACACACACACACACACACACACACACACACACACACACACACACACACACACACACACACACACACACACACACACATGCGGTGGAAAAGAGAAAATAATAACCAACAGTCAGAAAGCAAACAGACTCCAGACATCCCTGAAAACAAGTTTCCCCTCCGTTAGCTGTAGGAAATAAATAAACACGATCCCAGAATCCCTGCAGCAGTGAGGAGTAAACAAAGCCAGATGACAAACAAATCATCCTCCACAAAGACAAAATCTCTGATCACATCAATTTAATTTACTTTGAAATATGTTTTGCCTTTGAGTCTTTTGTGTGTGTGTGTGTGTGTGTGTGTGTGTGTGTGTGTGTGTGTGTGTGTGTGTGTGTGTGTGTGTGTGTGTGTGTGTGTGTGTGTGTGTGTGTGTGTGTGTGTGTGTGTGTGTGTGTGTGTGTGTGTGTGAGCAGGTGAAACGGGTCTCGCGGGAAAACAAAGGCGTGGCATCATCACCTGATGAAACAGTGCTGAGAGCTTGATCCTCCATTTCTCATGCCAGGCGGCGCTGTCACCCATGTTCACCAGCTCGTCCAGCTGCTTCACCGTTTTAATGGTTGTCACCTGACAAAAAATAAAAATAACACAAGCAGCTCTTTAAAATTCCATTTCATGTTCAGGTTTTTAGAACATACAAGTCAATATTAAAAATTATGCAGATACGATGTAATAATAAGAGATTATAGCTATTGTAATTAACATGAGATCACATCTCTGTGCTGCAGAGAGACCAACAGAACCCACAAGCTTCTGCAGAATTTGTATTCGGCACACGTGCACCCACCGGTGTTGGCACACATTAAAGTTTAATATTCCTTACAGAGAAGACTCTCTCTGGGTAACCTTTGGCCCTCATGTTGGTGTCATGGACCTGCTTCAGGATCATCCACGCCTCATCGTGTTTCCCGTTCTGGAGGAGGGAAACAAAATAACCAACTCAAGAACTCCTGGAGACATTTTAAAGGGTGTAAACAGCTACTGGACAAAACTCTATCACTCACACACACACACACACACACACACACACACACACACACACACACACACACACACACACACAGACAGACACACACACACACACACACACACACACACACACACACACACACCACCATCCTTCATGCTGGATCACCATGCATGGATCTCTCTCTCTCTCTCTCTCTCTCTCTCTCTCTCTCTCTCTCTCTCTCTCTCTCTCTCTCTCTCTCTCTCTCTCTCCAACCATTTAGTTTATCTCAATTTTGAGCTCACAAATAAGTAATTTATACACATGCTGACTCTTTCTCTTTGAAACGATTTCATCACAGCATGAGCGAAATGATGGGCTGACCTCCAGGTAGAAGCGTGGGCTCTCAGGCATGGTGGTGAGGGCAGAGATGGCCGCCACTGAGGGGAAGGCACACACCAACACAAAGACGCGCCAGCTGTGGAATTGGTAGGCTGAGCCCATCTGGAAACTCCACCCTACACAAGGAGAGGCCCAGAGAAACAGCTTATTTAACACAAAAAACACCATAACCTCTTTGTTTCACAGATTATATGTTTAATATTTGACTAAAGCAGCTAAAATGTTATCTCTTCGTATGCTAAAACACTGCATTCCTGCAAAAGACGTTTTAAATTGCAGTGATGAACATTTGCTTGACACCGTTCATGCAATGCACCTGCTCAGCTCTACATATATGTACATGAAAAGAACAAAGTATTTGTTATTTTGTCTTATTGATAAAAATGGTTGAAGCAGACATGACAATCCGAGTTTCTCACCGTAGTGTGGGATGATGGCCCAGGCCATGGCCGAGGCATAGATGCCGCCGATCATCCAGAACATGCAGAGCCAGCTCAGATGCTCTCCACGCTTCTCCTGGGCCAGGAACTCCGAGTAATAGGAGAACACAATCGGGATGGAGCCACCAATGCTGTGGAGACACATCAACATTGCTGCCTGTCTTCACTTTCCAATGTAGCAGTTAATAAAAGAGTTGAGTGCATGATGTGAGACGGTGTCAGAGGAACAATCAGGCAAATGGACGTAATATTTTATTTCAGAGCAGCTCCTGCATTGAAGATGCTCCACTTCATGCACACATTAACCCATCAGATAAGCTGATGTAGTTGCGTTACAGCTGTTGTGACTATTTCCCAGCCCAGGCTGCTGCACCCGTGTGACTCATCGCTATCCTTACCCAACACCAGAGGCCAGGCGGCAGAACAGGAAAGAGACATAGCCCTGGACAAAAGACGAGAAGAAGGCAAACACGCTGTTTATGGAGAGAGAAATAAGGAGGGTCTGTCGTCGGCCGATTCGATCTGCCAGGCCGCCCCAAACGAAGGCTCCGACCATCATCCCCAGGTAAACGATCAAACCTGCAGGGTGCACAGGGAGGAAGAAAGTGTTGGTTTATGAGGGAGATAAAGATGTGCGGTGTGATGGGAGGAGATAATAAAGGACAGGAGGAAGATGGTGCTATAAAGAGTTATTCCTTGTTGTTAAAGTTAGCCTTTATTGTCCTGACTAATTAGGGGGTAGAGAGGAGGGGTACTCATAAGTAATTTCTGCTCATTAAGCAACAACAGACAGCTATAGTTTATACTCCCCTGGCTCCCAGCGTGACATATAGTTTATAAGCTTGACCCTCCCAAATTCCAGTCAGAATTGACAAAGCTCCTCAGATGACAAGCAAAACATCCAAAAAGTCCCGTCGCCTTCATCTGAACCCCTTTGGACTACCATGACCTGGATGACTGAGAACATTCAGAATCCACATCTGCTTTCTAAAAATGCTAAAAGGCCTGGAACGACAAATCCGCTTACAGCTCTTTTAAATGCACCATTTACTTTTATTTAATGTGGTTTTATGAGAAACCATATTTGTTTTTGTGCCTAATGGAATAACTTTGGTTTTCTTTTTCACATACATAAATTTGATGAATCGAGTTTCATGCTGAAGGCAAATTACTATAAAACCTGGACCCAGTGAAGATCCCGGTAAATATCTAAATTATGTTTTATTAAACAAAACAAACATAAAAAATACACTTTCCTAATGCATTAAACCTGGTCTGTAACTCGCAAAACAGATGGGACACAGATGTTGGGTCCCTTTGGCACAGTCTACTTCCTGGGGAAGACTATAAATAATATAATCTCAGGGTAATTAGGATTTTTTTTTGGGAGGGTAAATATTGACTTCTACAGTAGGGTTGTGAGCAGCTTTGGTGTGTGTTATTGGGGGCTTTTATAGATTAAGGTGACATATTATAATAAATGTGCTTGACTAACTAAACAAATCAGCTAATTACTGGTTAAATATTTCCAACCAGCAAACCCTGATTGTAATTTAATGAACAATTAATAAATAGATCCATTAGATCCTGATTTGTCACACGCCGACTTCTTTTGACTTTGACCTAATCAATAACAATTGCTATTTAACAGAATTAGATGATGAGGTTTTTATAAAATAATGAACAATTAGTCTCTGATTGGCTTCTTGTTAGTTCTTATTAAACCAAGGAGATGGTTTTCACTGCCTTAGTCAGGTTTTATGGATTCTGATGTTATGTATTAATCTGCTCATTATTAGGAAAAAATGATGTGTGGTGATTCTAAAGAGAAAATTTAACTATTGCACAAATTACATTTAATTAAATATTCCAGTTTTAGCAAAATGAGAAAGTCAAACAGGTAAACATGAGCTTTACAACACGCATGTGGAAAAACCTGCAAGTAACCTTCAGGATGGACGCCGCCGACCCTAATATCAACAAGGAAAATTACCTTTTCTTTCAGAGGAGAAGCACTTTAAGGTGGCTGATTAATTTCTTTGTTTTGTTCTTCGGTATGACTCACTCACGCTTCAGAGGCAGGAGCTGCAGCATCCAGAAAATGACTGTTAACTTCCTGGTTTTATTGCAGGAGTTTCTGTATGAATTTGTGAAACAGATTTATTCGAACATTTTGAGCAGGTAATCCAGACATTATGGTAGCGTCTTCATTCTAAGGTGTCGGGTTCACTTTTGAGGCTGTTTTTAGAGCTAACTCAGCAGGGTTTTATTTTTAGTTACAAGTCAGCATTTTCTCACAGTGGATTCTGGACACAAACATCTTTAAACACCATTTAGCCTGATTTATTATAGTTTACTGATATTTTTAACAATCATCACAGATTCTACTGGGCAATTTAAAAAGGCCTTTATTTTGGAAGGCAACATCAGAATGACTTGATATTGATATGGTATCACTGTGGGGTTGTATAACGTTGATCTAAAGTGGAAATACCCTGTGGAAACAGCAATTTTCCATTTTAGAGCATTTTTAAATCACTGAAAGTTTGGTCGTATATGGACAATTTAAAAAGGCCTTTATTTTGGAAGGCAACATCAGAATGACTTGATATTGATATAGTATCACTGCGGGGTTGTATAATGTTGATCTAACGTGGAATTACCCTGTGGAAACAGCAATTTTCTACTTAAGAGCATTTTGAAATCACTGAAAATTAGGTCAGTTGTGGACAATTAAAAAAGGCCTTTATTTTGGACGGCAACATCAGAATGACTTGATATTGATATAGTATGACTGTGGGGTTGTATACTGTTGATCTAAAGTGGAAATACCCTGTGGAAACAGCAATTTTCCATTTTAGAGCATATTGAAATCACTGAAAGTTTGGTCGTATATGGGAAATTTAAAAAGGCCTTTATTTTGGAAGGCAACATCAGAATGACTTGATATTGATATGGTATCACTGTGGGGTTGTATACTGTTGATCTAAAGTGGAAATACCCTGTGGAAACAGTAATTTTCCATTTTAGAGCATTTTTAAATCACTGAAAGTTTGGTCGTATATGGACAATTTAAAAAGGCCTTTATTTTGGAAGGCAACATCAGAATGACTTGATATTGATATAGTATGACTGTGGGGTTGTATACTGTTGATCTAAAGTGGAACTACCCTGTGGAAACAGTAATTTTCCATTTTAGAGCATATTGAAATCACTGAAAGTTTGGTCGTATATGGGAAATTTAAAAAGGCCTTTATTTTGGAAGGCAACATCAGAATGACGATATTGATATGGTATCACTGTGGGGTTGTAAACTGTTGATCTCAAGTGGAATTACCCTGTGGAAACAGCAATTTTCCATTTTAGAGCATTTTGAAATCAGTTAAAGGTAGGTAAATTATGGACAGTTTGAAAGGGCTTTTATTTTTGAAAGCAAAATCAAAATAACTTGATACTGATACAGTATCACTGTGGGGTTGTATACTGTTGATCTAAAGTGGAAATACCCTGTGGAAACAGCAATTTTCCATTTTAGAGCATTTTGAAATCACTGAAAGTTTGGTCGTATATGGGAAATTTAAAAAGGCCTTTATTTTGGAAGTCAACATCAGAATGACGATATTGATATGGTATCACTGTGGGGTTGTAAACTGTTGATCTCAAGTGGAATTACCCTGTGGAAACAGCAATTTTCTACTTTAGAGCATTTTGAAATCACTGAAAGTTTGGTCGTAAACTAATGAACCCACCTAATAACTGGGTGTGCTGCACCCAGCGGTCCGAAGACTTGTTTAATGTAATGAAAAATGAAAGGACAGTGAACGCACAGCACTGCAGCAGCAACTAAAACAACAGCAACAGGCACTGTGGCGCTGACCCGTCAGCTTCTCACCGATCAATCTAACTGGATCATTATCTCTCCTGCTGTCATCACCATGCGGCGCCCCATGGCTGTCAGCAGATCTGGAATAAATCATCAGCTGCATTTCAGCCCAGGAATAAATACCGCAAGAATTATCTTTGATTGAAAGTCTAGCTGTCATCAACAGAGTTTAAATTACTTACTTAACGATAATAAGATTGAAAAGATTTAACCACTTCTGCTGTCCATCCTTGGTCCTGGAGGAAAACACTTTGTGCATGTTTCTATGCACAAACACACCTGGTTTAAACCAAAGGGTGAAAAATAGTCTTATGACAGGACTTTCTGAACAGGTGATTCAGTCATTGAATCAGTTGGACATCCTGGATGGTGGCTCCTTAAAGCATCTAAATGACCCAACTTGTGATAGTTTTTGACCAGTTTTACATTTTTGAGGGAAAAAACCCCAAATACCCTGTTTGAATCACCCAGAATTGAGTCAGATGACACCTTTGTGGAAAGTTTTAGTTGTGTATTAATTTAAAACTAAATTTGTGTGTCTGCAAATGTCTTTTCCTTACATTAATTCACATTTAAATAATTTGTATTTGTTTACCAACTGCTTCTCTAATTTCCCTCACCCCAGACTCACAGAAATGAAACGGAGAAGGTTTCCAGACAAATTCCAGGTGAGTTTTGACTATTTTGGGAGGAAATGCAAGGGAACCGAGAACTCCCGCAAACCTTTCAGATATTTTGCTCATGGATTGTCAGCAACAGTCATGGCCCAGTGGTTTCATGTATTTCTGGCTGAATGTACACATTTATGTACACATTTAATAGTACTTTACCACCACATTAGCAAAAGAATGATTCGGTTATTCACTAATAAAATAAAATATGGCTCAAAACTCCCTGCATCCATGGGGGTTTTAGAGCAAAATAACCTCAGAAAAAGGAAGATCACACTATAATGTTTTGAATTAGACATAAAAATCTTAATTACAATTAAGTAATTATTGTCAATTAACAATAATTAATGACAGATAAACAAAAATGTAACCCACTGTCCCGGAAAAGTATCTGACGATCAAAACAGCCTCAAAGCTCCCATTATTAAAGGGCAAGTCATCCCCTACCAGAGTCTTACTCCACTCCCACTTCCTGTTTGAAAAATGCTACAAATGCTGTCACCTGGCAGACTGAGAGGGAGGAGCCGCTAACAAATTCACACACAGGCTGACAACTTGCTGTGCCACGGCATCGCTTTCTGACTGCCGTGGTAAAAACGCACATTTAACCTCTAACCTCTTTTTATTTAACCTTCCCCTCACCCACACCCTAGCCTTAACCCAGTTTCTCATTCTAAACTTCCCGTTAACCGTGTTGGAGAGGGACGTTACAGCCAGCTGGGACGTAATTTTGGGGGGGGACGGGTGGGACATGTCCCCCCCACTTTTTCAAAAGGCAGTTTTGGTCCCCTGCACTTTTTTCCGTCCAAAAACAATGTTACGCTCCATTAAATGGATTTGGTTGAGCACTAGGACCGAAACGGAAACCGGTTTCCTATTAGACCCGCCCAAAAGCTAATCTATTGGCTCTGCTGATACTTGCTAACGTATTATTGGCTGTTGCTGCTGTCACTCAAGTTGCAAACAGAACGTGCTCACGTTGTTTTGCTAGTTTGGAGCCGCTAGGGAACACCGGTACTGAGTCA